GCCACGGGGTACCTGATGGGAGTCAGTTCTTTCCCTCTACTGAGTGGATCCAGAGGATCAAACTCAGGTTACCAGGCTTGGTAGCAAGCAAGCTCCTTTTCCTTACTGCTCCTAGGTAGGATTCTTTATCCATTCCCTTGGTGTTCTGGAATCTACCAATTTGTGATTGAATTTTTATGCCGAGACAAAAACCAGAGGCTGTAGTTGTGGGGGCATCCTACCTACGCCTGTGAGGGCTATGGATAGAATATTGTCTGTCTCATTTTAGGAGCCAGGAAATTTTCCCTAGAGCCCCCAGGAAACTCCCTTAATACTTCTCATTATTCTTAAGCAGTGAGGAGGGTCCAACCTTATCCCCGAACTGATCACTATAGGGCAAAGAATTCTGTATTGACATTTAATCTTGGGTGTTTACATCAATCATTTGCAGGGCTGTAGGAACTAATATGACAGGTTTAGACTGGTCAGAATCTACCCCTTGACCTGGACTTCAAACCCTCAATCACATATTAATTTCAAGATGGTGGAAGAGAGGATGTTTGGGGGCCACCTTATTGGTCCATTACGTCTTGCCTAACCACTGCTAAAATCATGGGGTACAAAGTTAAGTTTTGCTATCCTGTGTATGCCAGGCATCCAGTCAGCATTCACCTCAATAGGATGGAATTTCAGGTAGTGTAGAGACCCAAAACCCAAACAAATAAGGCTTAGTTCTCATGCTTGCCTCCTATTCTCGTCGAGACTGCTGTGTCTGCTCCCCAGCTACCCCCACTATTTATATTCCACCTCTCTTATTTTTAGCCGTAAGTTTTACTTAGTCTGAAGATAACCAAATATTTCCTGAATAATAAGCCTCTGAATATGCATGTTCTCTAAATATGAATATAAGCCTTCTTGCAGATCTAGCTTTTACATTTAGAGTGTTGTTTGTTGGCAAGACTCTTGGGGGAAAAATTACGTGGTTTTTTTTTTTAATGGAAAAATGTACTACAGCAGAAGGCTTTGTTTTCCACAATGCAGAACCAATTCTCTCCATGTCAGTAATTTTGATATATCTATAAGAAACTTGTATGTTCATAAAATAAATAAATGTCAGACCAGACCTTCCTGGCTATACAGTGCCTGCTACTTTGAGGTGAACTTAGAACTGACAGGTTCACATCCAAAAGAGAAGGGGATGCAGGTGGGGTAAGCGCCACTTTACCATTATTGCCGGTCAAAGCCTGGCTTCTGGGTTAATTAGTGTCTCTCTCCCAGGCTAGCCCCTTATGTGCTCCATTCTCACAGGGCACTATGGCCTGGTGAGAGGTAACAGTCAGAAAAGAAAAAAAGAAAAAAGGAGGAAATCCCCTGTATAGGTTTGGTAGCATCTCTCTTCCAAACCAAGACCACTTAACTAGGATCCATTCCAAAAGTGGATGCAGAAGTACTCAATTTAATGGCTGGGTCGTTTAGGAGCCTTTTCAAAGCACACGCTGTGGAGATAACATCCCTGCCTATAAGGAGGGAATACAGACAAGGACTCTCCCGGGGTGAAGCCAACAAAGCTGTAAGGGCAGGCAGAGGGGCAGGTGGGAGAGCTACCTGGTTACTTAACATGCTTTTGGGAACTTGACCTCTGCAGCTCTCCAAGGAGCCACACCCTGCCTTAGGCTACTCAAGGAAGGCTTCCCAGCAGAAGGGGATCTAACCTTTGAAGAAAGGAGAAGGGGAATCATTTAAGAAATCCACACCACATTAGGAGGCTGCAGGAGCATGCACAGTGACACCAGCCTAACCCATCCCTTAAGAGAGCCATCGTCAATGCACTCACGATCAACCGATGGGATGAAGGCAGTCCTTCTCCCATGGAAGGGGGAGATGCCAGACCCCATGGTGGGCTGCCTATGAGTCTTGGGTCTTTTTGGTACTATCTTGGCACTTTCCCAAGTCTCTGCATATCTCTGGACACAAGCAAGCTTTGGGAAAGTGAAGGGCTGAAACTTGGGCATGTCTTGAGATGTCTTAAGACAGACTATTGCTATGATGAGGAGAGGACTCATGAACTATATGTTACCCCTTCCATGCCTTTCAAAGTCCCAGTCGGCCTTTTTAAATCCTTTTTAAACAGACTGCGTTGCTTAGAAAATAAGTAGTGAAAGACAGGAGTTAGGAAACAGAAAAATAATTGTTTGACACAAATGTGAACTGTGAAAAATTCAGTCATCACCCAGGAACCTAACTCAGAGCTGGTTATGATAGAAGCAGGTACATGTAGACACAGTAAAGTTAGCCCAAGGATGCTTGGAGTACACCGAAGGAGATCTCGAATGATCTAGGATGGTTAACATGAAATGAGGTCATAAAAACTGAGCCATTTAAAAGGTGTGTTGTGGGGCTGGAGAGATGGCTCAGTAGTTATGAGCCCTGACTGTTCTTCCAGAGGACCGAAGTTCAATTCCCAGCATCCACTTGGCAGCTCATAACTGTCTGTAACTCCAGTTCCAGGGGATCTAATATCTTCACACCAATACATAAAATTAGATAAATTATTTTTAAAAATAAATAAATAAAAAGTGTGTTGTGCCAGGTGGTGATGGCTCATGTCTTTAATCCCAGCACTCGGAAGGCAGAGGCGGCAGATCTCTATGAGTTCCAGACTAGGCTGGTCTACAAGAGCTAGTTCCAGGACAGCCTCCAAAGCCACAGAGAAATCCTGTCTCAAAAACAAAACAACAACAAAAAAAGGGGGGGGCATGTTGTTTAGATTTTGGTATCATTATGTTATTAGAAAAATCTCAACTGCTTGGGTTTAAAAACAGAACCGGTGTGTTGAGCTCTCATGATACCTGCTTGTCAGGATAAATTATGGCCTATAGAGTCATATTTTGAACCATTTGTGAGATAAGTGCTGATAGTTCTAGAAGTATCCATAAATGAAAGATTCCTAATTCTTTATGAGCTAAATTTTAACCCTGTATGAATTCCACCTCTATGTCTATCAGAACTCCTGTGGCAATTGAGAATGACAGTGTTTTAGGCTGATAACATCACTTATACCCTTTGGGCTTGAGGGGGGTCCATCTTGGTTTTTGATTGTTTGACCTTAGAATTTCCTCACTCTGAAAAAGAAATTCTAAGGCAGCCAAGCCTCCTGTGTCAGTGTAGAAGTTGAATGTTGGAATGATGTCACTGCCAAAGGCAGGCTTAACCAAACCCGCTTCAGCCACAAGAGTTTTGTCAAAGCCTGTGGGGCATCAAGGAAACTATAGTCTTGAACATGAGCATGAGTCTTTCACTAGGGACAGTCTTTCATCTTTTGTAAAACGGAGCTGTCTTAAAGCCTTGTGTTTTGCAAGATGAGTTACTTTTCGAGCAGATGAATGCTTTGCACTTACGTTTCTCAGGGTGTTCAGTGGCTAAGCGCACGAATTTTTGCTTACCAATGAGTACAGAGCACATTATGATCCCCAGAAAACTATCACGTTTTGTAGTCCCGGGGCTCAAACTCAGGGGCACATGTGTGCTAGACAAGTGTTCTACCAATGAGCCACACAATTCAGCCCATGGCACTCGGGAATCAAGCCAGGCGGTGGTAGCACACATCTTTAATCCCAGCCCTTGGAAGGCAGAGACAGAAGGATCTCTGAGTTGGAGGCCAGCCTGATCTACAGCTTGAGTTCCAAGACAGACTGCAAAACTACAGAGAAACCCTGTCTGGAAAAAAAACCAAACCAAGCAAACAAACATGTAAACAGACAAAAAAGTGCTTGCAGAGCAATGCAGACAATCTGGGTTTGATCACCAGAAACTATAGTGGAAAGGGAACATAAACTCTCAGAAGTTGTCTTCTCTCTTCTGAATGTATGTGAGCATCGAGTGTGTACATGCACGCACACACACACAGAGGGGTGGGGGAGAAATATGCATGCATTAAAAGAAAAATCACGGAGGAAGTTTCATATTGGAGTGTCACCCAGAAAAGGAATCATGTTTGAAGCAGTTAGTTACAACATGATTGAGGCTGACCGAATTTTATGAATAGAAAAGGCCACCACAATTCCTGGGGCACAGGTGAGGAATATCTTACCAAGCGGAACAGGAATGTTAGGCTGTCAGAAAAGAGGAGTCAGCTCCCATGAAACTGCAGCTCCATATGGACTGTTGAAGACACTCAACTAAACCTAACAAAAACAACTTTGTGTACGTGGGGTTTTAAAACTATTTATTGAAATATAACATTTGTCGAGTGTTCTACATTCTAAGATTATAGAAAAATCTGGAAACAAGTGGAAATGTTTAGCAGCTGAATCTTCCTTCTTTTTTAATTTGGTATGTGCACACAGTGCACATGTGTGGAGGACAACGTGCGGGGCTCAGGGCTCAGTTCTCTGCTTTAACCATGGGCGTCCCAGGGTTCAAAAGCAAGCTGCCTTCAAAAGCACCTGTAGTCATGTACACAGACACATACAATTAAAAACAGAATAATTTTTTGGGGGCGGAGGGTTGTTTGTTTGGTTTGGTTTTTCAAGACAGGATTTCTCTCTGTAGCCCTTGCTGTCTGTAGACCAGGCTGGCCTTGAACTCAGAGATCTGCCTACCTCAGCTTCTCAAGTACTAGGATTAATGGTGTATGCCATCACTGAAGTATAAAATAGGTCTTTAAAAAATGCTACTCAGTAAAAGAAGACAGATACAAAAGACCATATATTGTATGGTTCCATTCCTATGAAATGCCTGGACTAGGCAAAGCCACAGAGAGGAAAGAGAGCAGAGGTGGCCAAGGACAGCAGAGAGAGCCTCAGGAGATAGAAGGTTTGGCTTCAGGGCAATGGAAGAATTTTCAAAATTAAACAGAGACTAACATTGTAGAACACAGTGAGCGTGCCAGAACACATGGAGGCATATTCTCTGAGGCAGCTCAGCTGCGTCCAGCCTTTGACATCACAGCATAACACTGTCACCTACAAAACCACATAATCTTATTAATATATATATATATATATAAGGCAAAAATCTCATTTCAAGTAATTGTTTGGAGTTTTATGTGGGAACATAATCCTAGCTGCCGTTGGTGTCCAACAGTTGCATGTGGCCTGTGCGTTGCAGGATGAACACGACTGAACTGCAAGCTTCATGTGACCCGTGTCTTAATCAACACAAACCTAAACAAAAGAAGAGAAAGAAGGGAAGAAATAAAAAAGTCTATTAGGCTCTGAAAAAGGGAGCAAGATGATCAGGTGAGAGTAAAACAGAAATATTTCACTACACACATGTGTCTATTCTGTATTTTGTGCCATTTTCAGCTTTCACCTGGATTGACAGAAGGTAATGAATTTCAGATTAGAGAATGGATGGTCAAACTAGACTGTAAAATTGTCTGCTTGGAACCATGTATAATAACATATATGTGTGAAAATCCAGGATAAAACTCACTCCTTAGTAAATATTAGTTTTTTAAAAGTATCCAACTCAGCATGGCAGTAGATGCCTGTGATCCAGGCACTTTTGAGGTGGAGGCAAGAGATTCTGGAATTCACGATCATCCTTGGTGCTCCTTTTAATCCAGACACTTGGAAGGCAGAGGTGGGAAGATCTCTTGAGTTCAACGTTAGCCTGGTCTATGTAACAAGTTCCAGGACAGCTGGAGCTACAGAGTAAGGCCCTGTCTTTAATCAGTTAATTTAAAATTAACCTTCCAATTGATTGACTAATTTAAAAGATTTTTGAATTTTAAATTAATAATTTAAAAGATCATTCTCACCTATGTAGTGACTAAGAGGACTGAACAACAAAAGACCTTATCTCAAAACAAAAAATGTCCAAATGATAGAAAATGTAAAACCCATTCTTAAAGCAAGCAAAACACAAGAGCAACAAAAACTGCCTACTTACAGAAATTCTAAGTCAGGACAGTGTCTCGAGTCTTGGAGACAAGGTTATCCCTTCCTATTGGAAAGATCATGTCTTGATCTCCATATCCCCCCTAGAGCTTTTTGGGGGTGTAGAGGTGTCCCCAATAAAACCCAGGGCCTTGAGCATGGGTAGACAAGTGGTATACACTGACCTATATCTCCAGCCTCCCTTCCATATCCTAGATGGCCAACACTATCTGGAAGCAAGGCAGATATGGAGACCATGTCCTGACTCCTTCAGGCTGGAACAATTCCCTTCCTCTGTCAATGGCAAAGGATTGTCAGATGTTACAAAATTAAAGCAGATCGCCCACCTTGTTACTTTGCAATGACATGCTTGGGGTGTTTCCTCTAGCACTGTGCTTTCCTCAGATGAGCTAGGAGTGTGTGTGTGTGTATGTGTGTGTGTGTGTGTGTGTGTAGTTATGTGCATATGTATGTGTAGTGTGAGTATGTGAAAGTATATAAATGAAAATGTACATCTATATTCAAAATGTGTGTGTCTACATGGTTATGTAAAAGCATGTGTGCACGTGTTTGTATATGCATGTCTGCATATGTACATTTATGTATATGTGTGCATTTGTGAAGAGTGTGTGTGCACATGCGCGTGCATGCGTGTGCACACATAGTTTTCAGAGTTACGAAGATCAGGGATGAAAGGTAACAGCACACTCAGACCCATGGAATCAGAATTTCAGATTTCTTTTGAACAGAATTAAATGTGGTGTATTAAGTAGGGTCCAGAAGCCTTGATGACCATCACTGGAAACCACTGTCACAGTGGAAATGAAGTGTCGTATGTGCAGATAGACCCAGTCTGAAGACAGGAGGCCACTTCCTTTGTCTTAATAAAACTTGCTCCCTATAAGTCAGAAAGTCCCCTTTACGGAAAGAACACTTTCCAAGGTGGTGTCACCCCCGTCTCAATTTTCCACCTCAGAGAACTGATCCTTTGGGTGACCAGTATCACTCTGTCACGGCACCAGGAACTAAACTAGGAGACTATCTTCAAACCCATTTATGGACTGTTTTTAAAGGCCAGGCCTCAGCAGAAGTGAGTTTAAATGTGGGCAGCATAGCGAGAGGATTGCTAGACAGAGGGATGCTTGAGTATGCACTCGTGTGTGCACAGTGCATGTGTGTGTGTGTGTGTGTGTGTGTGTGTGTGTGTGTGTGTGTGTGTGATGGGGTGGTGGCGAAGAGGTCTCCAGAAGCTGGAGACAGGATCAGTCATGGTTCTCTGAGTCAGCCACTACCCTGAACCTCAGTGGCACTTCAGTTCTGTGGGTTGGACTGTTGTCCCTCTTAGGGGTCACACCTACAGGTAACTGGCAGATAAACTCTTCTTGACTCTATGGAGTTCCCTGGGGACCCTGGGATGTCTGGGCCCTTTCTTCTTACCAGACCTCTCTTGAGTCTCCTGAACTTGCATCCATTTCTAGCACATTCCAGTGCACTATTTGTTTTTAGGCCTAGAAATTGAACCCAAAGCCTTGCACCTGCTAAGCACGTGCTATACTCCTGAACTCGACCCCTCACATCCCCCCTCCAGCCTGAGGCACATTCTTTTGGTCAGTGGACCCTAGACCATCCCTGGATGAAGGCATCAACCAAAAGGAGAAACTGTAATGGAAAGCAGCATAAAGATTAGGTAATCAGAGAAGATTCACAATTGGGGAAAAAGAAAACTACAGAAGCAATTCAGACACGGAGGTAGGAAGTGCCAGGGTGAACTTGGTCAAGACCAGCTCTTCTGAAATGAACAGCCCCTTGCATCCACAGAGAGACAGCCAAGCCATGCATGTATTTCAGTCTTTCATCAAAGACATGTGGATTTTCATCAACATCAAACCAATTAAACACATAAAGTTTATAACCAACGTACAAATAGAAAACTGCTATATAACCACAAGTGGGAAAGGTTTCTGATCTATATCGTTAACACTGAACACAACACCGTCATCATGCTAGCCCCATTTATATACTGTGGAGGGTTTTCCGTGCATTGTCAGTGAATTTACTCCTCACGACAAGAGTATCATTATGACTCCCAACTCATTGATTTAATCATGCAGTGCTGAGGATCAAATCCAGGGCCCAATACATACCAGGTAAACACTTTGCCAATGGTCTATATTCTCTGTCCCAAGACTCCCAATTTGTTAATGAAAACAAGCCAAAAGGAAGCTGAGTAAATTACTCAGGGTCACTGGTGTCAGTGATGGCTGAAATGACGTAAGCCTAGGTGTAGAAGGATTCTACCCACTCAGTTAACCACCCTGTCACCCTGCTTTCAAAGGCATGTATGATTCAGCATTATCTTGATGCTGATAATGTAGGTGATAGCAAAATCCAAGATATAAGAGAACTTGGGTGTGACTCAGCAGCAGAGTGGTTCCCTAGTATATGCAACAACCTCCCACACATCAGGCTCAGAGAACACTGAAGAAAAGAGTATGGATAGAGGGTAGGGAGAAGTGCTATGAAACACTGTCTTTTAGACATTACGTAGGAATCGCACACAAGATCTGCATAAGATCAAGTCAGATAAGATCCCAGCACAGATGGGGTAGATGATCTCCAGCATGCCCTTACCAAGGCATGCTGGCAGCTGACAGTTTCTGAGAAAGGGACAGTCATTCTTTCTAGAGGGTGTGCGTACCAGTAGAAACCCTCCAGTGGATGGCCTTTTGTGGGGTACAGTGTACTATATCAGCTCAGGTACACAATGTCCAATGATCAGATACATATATGTTACTTCAGATATGTATCAAATATTTGTGTTAGGATCATGAGGGCATTTCCAGCACCCGTTTTGATTTGTTTTTTGAGGTTTTTTTTTTTTCTCTGATAGGTTAAAGGTTTATTTTGGCTAACAGTTCCAGTTAGAATCTGTCTTCATCAAGGTTCCCACTGCTGTGATAAAACACCATGACCAAGAGTAACCTGGGGAGGAAAGGGTTCATTTCAGTTTGCAACGCTCAGGTCAAACTCCATCACTGATGGAAGTCATGGCAGTGACTCACAGCAGGAACCTGAAGGTTGGAGTTGAAACAGAAGTCAGGAAGGAATGTTGCCAACTGGCTTGCTCTCCATGGCTTGCTCAGCCTCCTTTCTTATACACCCAGGACCACCTGTCCAGGGGTAGCACCACCCACAGTGGGTTGGTCCCTTCTACATCAATCATTAATCAAGAAAACACTGGACAGACTTGCCTATAGGCCAGTCTCATAGAGGCTTCTTCTCAACTGAGAATTCTGCTTCCTAAATTACTTTAGCTTGCATTAAATTGACATCAAGCTAATCAACACAGCCTCCATCATGGCAAAGAAGTCACAGAGACAGGCATTTGAGGTAGCTGGCCACAAGCTAATAGTAGTCAAGATGCAGAGAGGTGAATGCTTATGCTCGTTTCACATACATTCTCCTTTTTATATAGTCTAGAAATTCTGGTCACAGTGGCTGGATCTTCCGACCTCAGTTAACTGAATGAAAAGAACGCTTCACAAATGACAACTCAGATGGACCATCCCACCTTCCTCCAATTCTGTGGGGGCGCTAACATCCCCTGATTAGCATCTTCCCTCATCTTCAAACCAACTGTGCTGACTCTTCTGTGACACTCCCTATTTTGAAATAACTGATTTTCATGAACTGCAGAGCCTTGGTTTTTCTAACCTGCCCCTGCTTCTTAAGGTTTTCCCCTTAGCACAAAATTGCAAAGACTTTTACAAAGTAGCCTACCCATGCTCTGTAAACTAAAAGTGATTTGGGGGCTAGAAAGATGGCTCAGTAGTTAAGAGCACTAGCTGTTCTTTTTGTTGTTGTTGTTGTTGTTGTTTGTTTGTTTTGTTTTTTGAGACAGGGTTTCTCTGTGGCTTTGGAGGCTGTCCTGGAACTAGCTCTTGTAGACCAGGCTGGCCTCGAACTCACAGAGATCCGCCTGCCTCTGCCTCCCAAGTGCTGGGATTAAAGGCGTGTGCAACCACCGCCCGGCTGCACTGGCTGTTCTTATGGTAGACCTGAGTTCGATTCCCAGCACCAACACAGTGGCTCACAGCTGCCTGTAACTCCCGTTCTAGGGGATCTGATACCTTCTTCCAACCTCCTCAGAGACCAGGCACATACGTGATGAACAGACATACATGCAAGACAAATATTCGTCCACTTAAAGCAAACAAAGATATATATTTGAAGATAGTGTTTAAGTCAAGCACAGGGCCCGAAATGGCCCCAGCAGGTGATGG